CTAGTCCACACTGGCCGTGCTAAGGTACTGTCGCAGCAGCACTTCCACGTGCCTTGTGTGGTCGCGGCACAGCGTTGGGCAGGGCCGGCTCTAGGTTTTTTGCCGCCCCAAGCAAAAAAATTTTTGGCTGCCACCCATCCTGTCCCAGCCCTGGGCTCCCCCTACACCTCCCTGCCACCCCAGCACTGGGCTCTCCCCCCACCCTCACCCCCTGATGCCCCAACTCTGGGCTTTCCCCCCCATCCCACCCGCACTCCCTGCTGCCCCAGCCCTGGGCTTCCCCCCACCAGTGCTGACTCCGCCCGCTGCCCCTTCATCTCCAGCCAGTCCGGCGGTGGCAGGGTTGGGGTAAGCAGCGGGGCTCCCGGGCCGCGCCTCAGCTCAGGGTCCCTCCAGCCGGGGCTCCCGCCTCCAGGACCGGCCAGACCTGGGAGGGCAGAGCCGGGGGACCATCCCGGTAGGGGGCTGAGGAGCCGGGGCAGGGCAGCCCCGGAGGGAGCGGAACCCCGGAGAGCAGGACGCGGCCCCGCATGGCAGCACCCCGGGCACCGGTCCCCACTATGGCCCTGCTGCTGCTGATCCTAGCTTCCCTGCTGCAGTCCCTGGGTGGCTCGGGCTGCTTCACCCAGCCCCGGCTGCGGTGCTGGGGGGCGGCCGCCCTGCGGCACTTGCAGGCAGCTCCGTGCGCCCCATGGGGCGGCCCCCCAGCCCAAGTGCCCTGCGCTCAGAGCCCACCTGGCCATACAGTGCGGGCGCTGCTCCCTGACGCGAACCGCAGCAGCCCCAGGGCGCCCCCCGCCCATGCAGGACGCGCTGCTGCTGCCAGGGCCGGCTCTAGGTGTGCCGCCCCAAGCAAAAAAAAAAGGGTCTGGCTGGAATGCCACCCCTAAAAATGTGCCGCCCCAAGCACGTGCTTGGTTTGCTGGTGCCTAGAGCCGGCCCTGGCGTTGGGAGAGAGCTCTCCCGGCGTCCTGAAAAACCCACCTCCACGAGGGGCGTAGCTTCCAGCGCTGGTGCAATGTCTACACTGGCGCTTTACAGCGCTGAAACTTGCTGAGCTCGGGGGGGGGTTCACATCCCTGAGCGAGAAAGTGCTGCAAATTGCCAGTGTAGACAAACCCTAAGAAAAATGGCAAAGCACTAGGAATCAAAAGAGCGGTAAAAAGGCAGACTAAGAAACCACCTCAAACACAACAAATTTCCATTGGCATTTGTGGGTTTAAACTATCTTTTGACTCAGAGACCACAAAAATGTGACTGGTCCAGAATAGTTAACATGACACACTGGTCTAAGAAGTGACGAAGATGCGTAAACCTCACAACGTCTTGACAGAGCTGCTGCTTGTGTGTAGTCCTATCTGCTGCATTTAGTTACAGAAGTAAGTGTTCAGTTACATCTGCAGAGCCAATGCAGGTTAGAGTGAATTAGATAGTGTTACTTGTGCATCAACAGAATTGGTTCCTGCGTTCCAGGCAGGGCTTTGGAGCTGTGCTCCAGCTCCGCTCCAGCTCCAGGCAAAAACCTGCAGCTCCACTGCTCCAGACCTGCTCCGCGCTCCAGGCTCCGCTCCAAAGCCCTGGTTCCAGGGCCAATCAGTTACACCCGTGGTTAATCAGTTGACGGCAATAGGGTTGCTCAGATGACACTGAAAGGAAAATTGGGCCCACAGAATCTCTTACTGATGATCATGCATGACCTAGAAAGAACCCAGCTTGATTTTGCTAGGCTGAGTATGCAGGGCTGGAGGTTAAAGACTAAAACATCTTTTTACTTAAATTGAGCAAACTTAATACGTACTCAGTGAGACACTAAACATGGATCCATACAGTGTTCCTGTCTTAAAACATAAAATGACCAGGAGTAGATGATGTAGTACTGAAACCTGTGTCTGTTATCCCTTGCTGTGGGAAGAGGTCAGGAGCAGCTGGGAGATTAGGGCACTAAAGATGAATGGAAGCTATTGGGGATGGGGAAAGGGAAGGAAACTAAAGGCACAGGAAGAGCGGTTCAGGAAACAGGACCATTAAAAAAGGGTTTGACAAAGGAAAAACCCATGAGCATTGATTGTATTAAATACTTCAAACCATAGATAAGACAAACTACACTGAAGGGGAATTGTCACAAACTTGTCACCAGAGCCTACTGATGAAATTGCAGTTGGGAGTTCATTATTCCTTCTGTTTAGGGAATCTCTATTTAAGCTGTATACCCAGCAGCAAAATCTTTTGAGGCATGTGAATCCTAATAATATATTTAATGTTGTCATAATTTAGTGGCCTTGTCAAGCTGTGGAGTGCTCTAACACTGCTGGGCTCCTACCAGAACAGGAAGTGTGCTTTCAGAGTGATACAGGTAAAGCTCTGGGGAACTCCGGGACCTGCCCCTGAATTTTAGTCCTCTTTAGGGTTACTCAGCCTACTCAAGTTCACAGAACCTCTTAATAGAGACATGGCTTACTTGTGTAAAACTGGATCCGTTTTAGAGTTAAATACCCTTAAGGATTGGTGTGAAACAGATTGGTGAGAGATTGAATCGGTCTGTCTTATAATTACTGAAATTCAGTCGACTTAAATTGTCATGTCCAGGTCTCTTTATATTGTACGGTGGTTGTAACAATCACCTGTTGTCATATCTGGGGTTGTCTGAAAGGAAGTAGATGCTGGGAATCGTCTTTCCTTTTGGGGGCCCACATAGATGCGATCTTATAAAACTAGACTCTTGTGTCTGAGTTTCATCACTTTACATATCAGACCTGACCTCACTGTAGTAGATCTCGTTAACAGATTTTTGAGGAAACTAATTTCCATGACAGTTTGTCCTTGGCCCCTATCTGGGTTCAAACTTGTATGTTTCGCCCACTGTCACTCACTCACTCCAAACCCCATTGCACTTGAATTCCAGAGCCCAATGCTTGTTCCTTTTGAAATGCTTCACTTCATTCTGCCACATAACTTTCAGTAACTGAGTCTGGGAGCTGGAGTTGGTCTCCAAGGAGATAGTTGAATAACATGGTTGGCTTAAGTTGCTCTAATTTTGCTTTATATGGGGGAAATTTGTTGTGTGTTGTTGTTTTTTTTTTAATCTTGCCTGCTGGAAATTGTTTGGTATGTGTGATGTTTTCATAATGTGTCATTTTTCCCCCCCCCCCACCAGACCTCTCCATTTCTCCTTGCGTTATCTGGGAACAGCAGAGAACTCCTACTGGATTGAATACACCGGAAACGTGGTTGGGCTGTAAGAAGCAGAAGTTGCTCAAGATGTTGGCACTACTCAGACCTAGAATTTTTGGTGGGGATTTCAAAAGAACCATCCTGACAAAACCAAACATTGCCAGCTCATTGCTTAGATCTCTCTCTCTTCAGCGTTCACATATACAGGTTGGAGACAAGGCTGAACTTACTAAAGCCTTCACACAGAAAGATGTTGTTAGTTTTGCTGACTTAACTGGGGACACAAACCCACTGCATTTGGATGAAGACTATGCAAAGAGAACTAGGTTTGGGAGAACAATTGTACATGGAGTTTTGATCAACGGACTTATTTCAGCAGTTATAGGTACTAAAATGCCTGGCTATGGTTGTGTGTTTCTTTCTCAGGAAATTCACTTCCCAGCTCCCTTGTACATTGGAGAAGAAGTCTTAGCTGCAGCAGAAGTGACGAGACTGAAAAGATCTGTTGCATACATTTCAGTATCATGTACTGTTAGGGAAAGTGAAAAGATTGTTATGGAAGGGATAGTGAAAGTCATGGTGTCAGAAGGTCAGCGCTCGTGACTGCATGGTGCTTTATTCTTTAGTAAAATTCAGAAATATGTGGGGGGTTCACATGTGTGATACCTCAAACCTTGGTAAGAGGAAGCCTGCAGAAACACTTTGAAGGACACAGCTTGCTGTCAATTTTGAGAGCTGATGTGCCTTGTAGGTGAGAGATGTAAAACATCACTTTTGATGGCTTGTAAGGGCACATGAAGATCAGTATGATCCATACTTACCTTACATCTATTACCATCGTGTGCAACCAAGCCTGTTCTGTTTCCTAGCTCAACTGTCTGTCACCAGAATAAACCCCAGTGTTAACTGGAACCTTTTACAAAGAAATGTTTACTTCACGTAATGTTCTGGAGTTGGTCAAGAGATTCCTGTCCCCTGACTAGTAAACAGGGAGCCAAGATATTTATCTCAGATAAATAAATAAAGTATTCTCTTGGTTCCTTGTTACTATTGCACAACATGTGCCACATTTCACATTGAATTTTGAACTCTTGTTCAGTTTGAAGTTCTAGATATGGCAAAGGGCCAGATCTCTCTCTCACCCCTTCTATGAATTCAATGAAGACCAAGGGACTACGTGGGTGAATAAAGCAAGCAGCATTGGGTTCATATTAACACATGCACATGTCATCCTCTCCCCTGACTTACAAGAATAAAAAGCTTGTTCTTCAACCATTGCCTTTATTAGGGTAGCTCTGATGTTTCTTTCACAAATTAATGCATTGTTCCACTTAATTTTCAAGCAAAAGGGCTCATTTGATTTGAGGCTATCATTAGGCCATACAAAAATGGTCTGTGTAAAGGTCTTGGATAACCTCCTACCACTGCTAAACTACAAACTAAATGTCATGTGGCAACCTGTCACAACTAGAGGAACTCTTAAAACTAAATTATAAGGGAACTTTACAGACATGTGGCTACACATGGTAGCTTTATGAGCTAAACCCTTTATAGTCCAGAATTGCTTATTGTGTGATCAAAATTGGGCCTTGATCTGCTTTGGAAAGAGGGTAGATAGAAGGAATTGTTCTTAGTAGGTGTTCTTTCAGACAACACTTGGAGACAAATGTGCATGAGGGAGACAGGCAGAGTTTGATCAGATCAGAATAGCTGAGATTGCTGCTGTAACCTTAAATTTCCCTGACAAGGGAGTTATCTGCCCCCTGGTACCATAGTGTTTGAGCAGCCTCTTAAACTGTAATGTATTTATGCTCTCAACAGACCTGCGAGGTAGGGAAGTGCTATGATCCCCATTTTTCAGATGGGGAAGTAAGGCCCAAAGAGATCAGGGGACAGATTTTTAAAGGTATTTAGACATCTAAAGCTGCAGCTAAGCACCTCGTGGGGTTTTCCATAGTGCCTAGGCACCTATCGTATTTTGATGTGTAATACCTTTTCAAATACTGGCTGTGATGTGCGAAAGGTCATATGGGACATTTGCAGGGAATTAAACCTGGGGTCTCCAAAGTCCCATGCTCACCGCAAACCCTGGGCTGTCCTAAGTAGCGAAGTCTGACACCATTCTCAGAGCTGCAGGAATCACCGAACTGGAGGGGATCTCAAGAAGTCATCTAGCCCAGTCCCCTGCACTCGAGGCAGGACTAAGTGTTATCTATACAATGTAAGCTAGAGCAATGTGCTGTGGAGCTGATGGCAGAGTTTGGCTCATAACCTGCTTTTTGTGGAGACAAGGGATAGTCAAAGTACACTAGGTGACTTCTGCTTTAGTAGCTGTAGTGCCTTTTCTCTCTTCAAGTTACTCATTCCAGGTCTGTGTATGATATCTCTATATTCTAAATCTCATACATTAAGAATGATACATTGTGAATAACAGAACTGCCAGTCAGAATTCGGGGGAGAGACAAACAAAGCAAACATCTATTCTTAGACCTTGGGCTTTGGACTCTGTGTCAACTTGTTGGACCAAGGGAACAATTGCCAGAATCAAGAGCTTTCTACTGACCAAGCCTACGTCACACTATACAAATCTGGGGTCTGTCAGTTTGAGCGTAGCAGCTGTCTTCTGTGAGGGTGTGGTAGCCTTTAGACTTGTCCCATAAAGGGCTTTATAGATCAAAATTACAGTAGATTTTTTTTAAACACACAATAAGTCAATGTAGCCTTTCAAGCCGAAGCAAATCTTTGATCTACACTTCTGAGTTTTAAATCTAAAACTCAGAAGAATGGTCATGTTTAAACTCACAATTCTGTGTTCAAATGGCAATCGACTGAAAAATTGGTGACTGCCAAATGTAGTGGTAGTTTAAGGACAGCAAGAACCCTTAATGTACATCTGGTTCTTTTAAAAGTTTTTAAAGGTAGCCAAGACATTTTAAACTGCACCCTAGAGACAATATTGTGAACAAGGTAAAAGTAAGAGGTAGCTGCACAATCAGTGACTTTAAAAGATGAAACAAGTAAAATAAGAGTTTGTTCAAAGGCAAGTCATTTCCTGACTTTCAAGCAGATCTCGGTTTCAACTGCTGTTGATGCAACTCAAAAGAAAATGGCAGGAAGCAGAAGGAAGACTTTTTCACTGTTCAGGAGCTAGAGAAAAAGTAGATATCTTGGCTGTGAAACTTGCCGCTGCGTAGATAGCGTACATAAAAATGGCCCAAGGGTCCATCTAGCCCA